AATAATAGGCTCGCAAGGATAGATCGATTTTTGGGATAACGTTAGTTGTTGGAAATGTATTTAAACTCTGATTTGCCATAACATGGCTCCTATTTATAGCTTAAGTTTAAATCAATCTGAAACTTTATTAATCTCATGTGCATTTGACTGTTCTATCAACATTTCTGCCAAATAGGGTTAATAATGGATTGTCAAATAAATAATCAATATTGATATTCATGGATTGAGTTTACTTTTTATCGATGATGGCTATTTTGTTTTTCAATCTATAGAGTTAAAAATTTTAGTATATTAATATAAGAGTGAGTAGGACATTTTTGTTTAAATTAAGGACATGGCTATTTAGGGAAAAGAAAATCATTTGGATGCCTCAAAATTTGAATATAATGCCGAAAAAGATATCATACTTAAAAAAAATGGATAATTTCTCAATCTAATTAGTGGTTATAAAGAGACCTAATAATTAAGTTAATCTTCGCTTTAGTTTTCAAGTAATCGAATATCCTGCGCACTTAGTAAAACTGCCGATTATCTCGTAGTATTTAACGCCTAAGAACATTAATTTATTATATATATATTAAAGCAATTTTGAAATGCAACTATTTGTTTAGTATTTTATTGTACAAATTTAAATGATACAAAGCGCATTCTTCAATCCAAACTTAATATAAATCAAAATATTAAATTAAATTTATGAATAACAATATAAAAGCATTTTTTGCATTCGCATGCATATATATGAAGAGATTAACAAATCTAATATAAACGAATGTAAAATAAAATGTATTTCAAAAAAATTTGATTTTCATCTAAAGAACTATAATTTCATAAATGTATTAATTAAAAATATACCAAAGTGAGTAAAACAAAATTTGAAATTCTTTTTTTTAACAATAATATTATGCAAATTAAAATAAATACTTGATCCATAGATTATTACCACCATCTAAAACAAAAAATTCATGAACATCCAAATGGTAACTAATATAATTGAGGAATGAATGTTTTTATTCACTAAAACAATTTGCTCAAAATAGTACTAAATTAAAAGTTTTTGATAATTATATCGCATAATAATAATTAATAAAATTTGATTAAATTTTTAATGAATAAATATTAATATGAATTATATTCTTTAAAATGATAGTTACCAATGGTTACTTTATGAAGACTAAATTTTTAATAAACTTTGGCAAAATTATAAAGAGGGGTATTTGAGAAAAATCTTAATTGATTAACTTGTCTTAAATCTAACACTACGTTGGAAAATAAAATAATGTCATATATAACATTACTTTAAATGAGTGAGTGCATTAAATGAATCTGAAATATATCTTATATATAAAAGATTCTATGATCTCCATTATGATTGTTTGAAATAGATCACTTGAGTGTTTAATAAATATTTAGACAATATTTAAATCAAGAAACATGAGAGCGTAAAATTAGAATATCTTGAAGAAGATTTCATTGATCTTAATATTTGTAGCTAATGTCGCCTAAAGCTCCTGGTGGATAATTTTAGCAACGATTGTCATATCGCCAATTAATTATGAACTTCTCATATTATAGATACTATGCCTATCAACTAGGATCTGTTAGTATATATAAATTCAAAGAAGTTTAGGACTTAATTTATATCTAGCCGCCACGACCTACCG